GCCCCAACCTATTCTCATTTTTTAAATTATTATTTTTTATTTTTGCTGTTTAGCTTGGGTGCTTCCCACTACCCTGTTTTCCAGCTCACTGATTCATTCTTCTGCATCATTTAACTTACTGTTGATTCCCTCTAGTGTATTTTTCATTTCAGTTACTGTATTCTTCAACTCTGATTGGTTCTTTTTTATATTTTCTCTTTAAGTTCTCACTGAATTCATCCACTCTTAAGTCTGGTGAGCATCTTTCTCACCATTACTTTTAACTCTTTACCAGGTATATTGCCTATCTCCATTTTGTTCAGTTCTTTTTTTGTAGTTTTGCCTTGTTCTTTCATTTGGAACATATTCCTCTGTCTCCTCATTTTGTCTGACTTTTTGTGTCTGTTTCTGGGAATTAGGTGAAATAGCTCCTTCTCCTGGTCTTGAGGGAGTGGCCTTATGTAGGAATGTCCCCAGTGTAGACTGAGTGTGCCTGGTAGCTTTGGCTAGCCAGCTAGAGCTGCTACAGTTGTGGGCCAGGTGTGCTGCACTGAGGGACCAGCCTGATGGGACAACTAGAGTGGGCTTGGGCATGGACCAGGGGTCTCAGGTGCTCTCTGCTGGGGCTGTACTGGCAAGATGACTAAACTGGAGCAGGCTGGGATTCCCGGGGTGCTCCGTGTTGGGGCTGCCCTGGCAGACCTGCCTCAACTTTTTTGTATATTAATGTATTTCAGTAATGCTGCTAGATGCATTTCCTAGTAAGAGTCACATCAAGTAAAATCTGTCTGCATATGGTGTTTACATTGGAATTATTCTCTTGTAGTCCTTAACTGTCTGGGTAAATAAAATAACCTTCTGAATCAGTTGTTGATTATTTCAAGCATTTTGGACAGATTCATTGGGGTGAATTCAGATTTCCCATTTTATTATGATTCTTCATACCTCTAAGACATGTATAGTTGAATGTTGTGTATACACTTATATTTCATTCACAAATAGTAAAAATTCTTTGATGACTTTCAAAAAGGCAAAGTAGAACTTTAACACTGTTCTCTGACCATGTTTTGTTTATTGTGAGTTATGGTTGGGAAACACTAGATTCTGGTCCCAGAGATAGTCACACAAAATAAATAACCTGGTTCCAGAGAAGGCAGGTCTTTGATATCAAACAATTAGTGAGGAAAATAAATATCTTTAAAGCATGTGACAATGAAATATGTTCTTGCTCCCTGGGTTTAATCTAATCTGTGTTTTTAGTAATAGCCTTAGGTTGTGACATCTGATATTTATAGTTTTATTTATGCCACCATTAACTTTTTGCTTTAGTGCACCGTTTCCCAAACTTCAGTCATTTGAATACCTTCATGATTTTGCCCTGACTGGAGAACCATCCATATTACTTATATGGTTGGCATTTTAATCTTGTTTAACATAACATTTTAAGTAATATATATTTTTAGGAACCTGATTTAAATGCTCTGGCACGGCGGGCAGCAGAAAGAAGAAGAAAAGCAGAAATGAGGCATAAAGAAGCTCTGAAATTACAGAAAAATAAAAAAGAAGAACTAGTGAAACAAAAAACCTGGTAAAGTAATAATCAAATTTACCACATTTTCCACTGAAACGTGATATGGCTAGAAGTAGAGAGTACATTGGGTACTGTTTAAGCAGATATTAAATATAAGTCATATGGTATATCCACTGGTGTGTTAAACTTGGTTTAAAAATAATGCAGTGGAGGTGCAGTTTACCTTGGTGCACAAAGTAACATGTGAACTTTCTCTTCTCATATGAGTTTGACAATTACTTAGTTTCTGGAGAAATGTATGGCTAGTTCAAAATACATGTCCCCCAGAATCTGTCTGCCTCTGATGTAAAAAAAAAAAGAAAAATCAGTGCAATTAACATGAAAAGAGGTTTAGACTCGTGGCAAATCATTTTTGCATGTTGTAAAGATGATGGAGCCTGTTACTAGTCAACAGTGCTCATTTTATACAGTGACCTCCATCTTTATCAACATTTCTGGTTTTTAATCTACACTATTGTAATGAAGAAATATTAGATGTTTGTTGGGTCAGTTTCACCATAGGGCTTTATGACAAAGATACACCTCTTGGTACGCATTTTCTTACATGTCCAGTGTGTATAGATTGTTTATTAAACAGCATATTGAGCCTGTGGGATCAGATTGGAGGATTTCTTGAGATCCTGTGGCTTTTATATTTTAGACCATGAGGGTTGTGTTCTAACATTACCTGAGAGATTAATTTAGGACATCTCTTGTTTTTCAAGGCATATCACAGCTCGAAAGGAAGCACTGCTTGTGGAAAAAGAGAGATCGGCCAAAATTACAAGTCTGCCACCACCACCTCCAACTCTTTTTGAGGTGAGTTACTTTGAGTGTTGAGAAGAACTAGGTTATCATACTTCTTCTTTACTACTAGAATTCAATGCAGGTCAAAATTTCATTTGTTTAAACTCAATTTTTAAGCTTACAGGTAACACATGAGTATGTCTGGGGTATTTAAAAATAATCCTAGATATCATTTTACCCATTCTTTAGTATGTAACTCTGATATATAATTACTTTTTTTAAAAGCACAGTACTCATATTCCTGATATCTAATATTCAGTCTGTATTCAGTTTTTACCAATTGTCTTAATTTATTTTAGTTGTTTCAAAAACCATGTTTTTGATTTTTAAAAAACTGTAAGTGGTTTGGTCTTTTTTTTTTATGTCCTTTAATTATAGTGGAAAAAAACAGATTATTTGCCCTATCAACTTTTTCACATTCAAGATTTGGGTATTGTAAATAGTTATTACTTTACAGGTAAAGAAGTTAGGTTTGGATAAATTTACACAAGATTACATAAAGTGGATGAGTGAAGTCTTTCTCTATGGGACTAATATGTGTGCTTTTGTGATCTGGAGCTTGTTTTTGAAAAGACATTAAGTAAAGTGGAAATTAATTTTAAAAAGGTATTGGTTCTTTTGTTTTACAATAGCTTGTTGTAGTTATTGAAATGGCTCTTTGGATGATTCTCACGATTACATAGTTATTTTTATCTAAAAAATAGAAGTAAAAACCCCCCCATAAATATAGGGATATCTGATTTCATTGTATATAGAAGTATATTTTATGTATGTAAGATCAGCATAAGTACCAGATATTGCCCTCTTAAGCCTTTCATTTTGTCAGCCTTCCTGCTTTTATATGGAGCCATCTGCACGCCATTTGATCCAAGATTCAAATGGGAGAGTCAGATTTCAGTCACTCCCTCAGTATGGTGTTAAAAGGCAAGCAGTATTTTATCCATGAAGCATTTTGATTACCTTTATTGTAATTTGTAATGTTCCTACCAAGCCAAGGTCACATATTTACATAAAGCAAATAAAACATGTGTAAGCGCAAATATGAATGATGTGCAAATGTGTAGCTGTACTTTTTTCCCCAACTTTTTATTACAAAAATTTTCAAAATACAGGGGCGCCTGGGTGGCTCAGTTGGTTAAGCGACTGCCTTCGGCTCAGG